TATGTTCAATGCAGAAAAAACACTGCTGCTAAAATACCTAAGCAGTTAACACTTATCACAGTAGATTCTAAACTAGAATATTTGTTTGAAACCACATAGCTAGGGGTTTCAAATGAAAGGACAGGTAAGAGGAGGACAGCTTTTGATTAAGGCAGAAATGGTTTCAGTTCTAGCCCCAATAGTTATCAGTATTATAATTTGGTTCTTATTCATTTACATATTGACTCAAAGGTATTTCACATTATAATCTTGAGTCATGCATGCCCCAGGGCTCCATTCATAAAAAAAGAAAAGAAAACAAAGGGAACAAACAAACAAACACCATTTACAACTCTTAGGCCTTACTCTATAGTAGAAATTTAAGGAGCCCAAGTAAAACTGAAAACTATTGCAAGTTTCTTTACAGTAAATGGGAGAGATAAAAGGTGTCAGCAAAAGAGGACAGGTAAAAGGAGGACAGCTTTTGATTAAGGCTGAAATGGTTTCAGTTCTAGCCCAATAGTTATCAGTAGACCTAGAGCCTTGGTCCATTTCACCTTTCAAATAAAACCCTTGATTTTTAACTATGAAATGAAATAATAAAATAATTGCTGCTTAAAGATGTTGAGTACTAACAAGTTATCTTCAGCCTTCTATAGTATCAAAGATGAAATACAAGAAAACAAGACTAAACAAGTAACAAATTTCAAAAGTAGCCAGTGCTCAGTAATTTGTAAATTATTAATAATTATTCTTATTGTGATTCAAACCTGAACAGGAAAGGTAAAACATTAACTGCATCTTCCCCACCCAGGAGACAAGCTAGAATGCTAATCAGGTTACCTAGTGGGACCAGTCCCCCTAGTTTCCCTCCTGTCCTCAAACAGGTCTGTATCCGGCCCCTCCTCAAGTCTGACCCCATATAAGGCCGTGTCACCCTCCCTTTGAGGCTCAGAATCTGGAGAAATCAGCTCCTCTGAGCCAGCCTGCTTAATAAAGTCTGAAACTCAGCTTCACCTTTTCTTTAAGGACATATCAAGAGCTGCCATGACACCCTTGCACCCAGAGCTGCCACAACACCCCTGGATTCAGAGCTGCAGTGACACTCTTAGGCTCAGAGTTGCTGTGACCTGGCCAAGAGTGGCTACACTCTCTGGCCTAGGAGCTGCTGCACTCTCTGGTCTAGGAGCTAGGCTCTCAGGTCCTAGGGCTGCTGTGACACTCTCTGGCCTAGGATCTGCTGTGACACTCTGGAATCTAAAAGCTGCTATCACAACCGACCTTGCAATTCAGTGCATTAGACCACTGTGCCACATCAGAGATGATAATAATTTTAGTATTAGTATTATTTCTGGCTGTGTCCTTTCCCTCCAAAGGTGATCTGGCAAACTCATAGGGCTGTTGGGTACAGAATTGAGGTCAAACTCTGATCCCTCTACCCATTATCTGTCATAGAAAGCAGTATCTGTTTCTTGGCACAGCCAAAAACAAGTTTCTTCCACCACCAGGAAAACTTGTTCAATGACTGCTTAGCCCACATTAATCTCCCATTTCTCACTAGCCTCACTGGCATGTAATTATATACGGATTTTTGTCATGTTTTTCCCTCATTGATATTATGTTGTTGTTGTTAAGTGCCGTTGAGTCGGTTCCAACCCATAGTGACTCTGTATAGGGTTTCCAAGGAGCAGCTGGTGAGCTCGAACTGCCAACCTTGTAGTTCAAATGGCTTTGCAGTCTGGCGCATTATAGACGGCACAAAATAGCTCATACCTTCTTTGTACTTCCATCATGCCAGAGAACCTAATTAACATAGCAAACTTAAATATGTGGCATGGCATTCTTTCCAGTCAGAATATTCTAAAGCATAGGATACTTTTCCAACTAGTAGGTAATTTCTGTTCCCCAAATGGCAAGTGACATATCCCCAGAATGTCTCTCTTCTCTCTCCTTACTTCTATCCAGTCCCTGACATAAATCCTCATGTTGTCGCTTTTATTAATTTTTAGTTTTTTTAAAATCTGGCCTTTCACTCCTTTTTCCATTCCAGATCCTTAGAGTACATGTATTTGTGTATAGGATAGTATGGAAGCGGTAAATTTGGTTCTGAGATATTGCCTCTGTTATCAACACAAAACTCCTCTGCTATTAAGGAGCTCTGGTAGCGTAGTGGTTACGAATCGGGCTGCAAACCTTAAGGTCAGCGGTTCGAAACTACCAGCCGCTCCGCGGGAGAAAGATGAGGCTTTCTATTCCCATAAGGATTTACACCCTCGGAAACCCTGTACAGGGTCGCTATGGGTCGGAACTGACTCGACGGCACTTAACAACAATTGTGAGCTAATGGATCTGATCATCTTTTGGTGATGGGCAGAATTCATGACATTGCTTTGATTTTATTTGGTTCTTATCACTGCTGGTAGGCTTGGTTTATGTGATGACCTCCATTTAGATGGTATACATGATTTACTTGATATGTTTAGTATTTCATTTTTACCTTACCCTCTTCTATTCTTCAGAAAAAGGCAAATATGTCCCCTTTGAGTTCAATCTCTTAGTTGTACATAGCTTCACTTAACCTGACAGCTTCCTGGGCAGCCCTGAAATGTTTGTCTTCTCTATCTCTGCTCACAAAATAGTTGAGGATTGACTAGTTTCTATCATTTTGTTCCTAAGAATACTACTTGATATTCCTTTCTTTCTCTGCTTTCAAGGGATATTGCACTAAGCATGCAAATTCCAGAAGCAAAAAGCATGTGCTAATCACTTTGTTTATATGTGGCCCAGAGTCAGTGGACATAAAAATTTGCCCATCGTATTCTGTTCTTATATGCCAAAGAGACTCAGAGATTTCTCAGCCCTGCAAGCATTCAATCAGAGACCAAGATAGCAATTTTAATCTTAATTATCTACAAATGTTCTTGGAGTAGTCCTAATAACTTGTTTAAAGTGTGAGGAACAGTCATAATTTTTCTCACTGTCACGGAAAACAACATCTTCTCATAGAAAATGCTGTATAATGGCCACACCTAAGGAAGCCTAAATCTTAGTCACCATCTCCTGCCCACTCCCCTCCCCAGTTCTCTTATCATCACACAATTGGTTCTGCCATCTTTTTGTAAGATAAATCAAAGTGTCAACCTGGTTCTTGGCTTTTTTAAGTGTTTTTTAAATTTTTTTTATTTTATCTTTGAACTGGATCCTATTCTGCAATCACAGGAAAAGTTTCTCCTTAGAACCAAAACCAAACTCACTGCCATTGAGTCGATTCCAACTCAAAGCAACCATATCTAAACATTTACAGAATAGTTTCTATTTTAAAAGCAATAAATATATAAATAGTATTTCTTTTTTAGAGTAAAACTATAGTGTTGCATCCATTTTGCAAGTAATATGACCCTCTGGATAACCTGGAAATGATCATTATACTGAAACTGTATAGAAGATGGATTGGTTAATTAATTTCAGGCAAGAACAGTGTGACATTGTTCATTTAGGCTTCAAGGAAAGTTTGCAGGGCTCATTTTTAGATAAATGTATCTGAAGTCTGTGGATCTTACCATAAAGTAATCCAAAATTATCATTTCCCTTACATAAACAACTATTAAAAAGCAATTTTAGGAAACAATTTTCCTTTCTTACTTTGTAGAAATATGCTATTTTCCTTTGTATTCAGTATAATTTCTACTAGACCACAAAAAAAATCACTTCTCTACATAAATGTTGCTTTTAAGAAACAATATCTGAAACTGTACACTCTGTATATTGGGAAGCTGTAAAATTAGAATACGTAAAACGTTTTTACACAAAATATTCATAACAGGCTCACAGATGACTCTGTATGAATGAAACACCATTCGATCAGTATATTTAAGTGGGTGAAAGATTTTGGAAGGGTAATACATTGTCTATGAAATTGTCTTAGCTGAAATCTAGCCAAACATTTCTTTTATATTGTTAAAATCATTGTGAAAATCATAAACAATTTTCTGCAATGATTAATAAGTTTAGTCTCAAATGTACTTTATTTCACCCATACCATTGAAACAAATAAACCTTCACCAAAATTCTGTTTTTTTATATCATCTTTCTCCATTTAGCAGCTCCCTTGCAACCATAAGGAACTCATGGAAAAAGAGCAAGGGACAGAAACAAACGGCAAACATCAAATAAACAAATGAACAACAACAAAACAAAAAAGGGAGAAAAGATGATTAGTTTGTGACCAAAACATATGAGACAAGGTTGTGCAAAACATTGTCAGAACTCCTCTACTGACCATTCATTCCATTCTAGAGCCTTGTCATACTTCCTAGATTCATTGACAGACTATTATATTCAGAAAGGTTGTTGAAAACTTACAGCACTTAGAAATGCTCTTGAGACATATAAAAATGTCTTTATTTAGAATGGAACATATAATACCTGCCAAATTTGTAGGTTTGAAACCACTTCCAATAAGAATTAAAAGGCCCTCTTCCTTGCTGAAATAGGACTATCAATACATGACTTGTCTGCTCATATGAAATAGTGGGTTCTTGTCTCTGATTTTGCAATTTAGTTTAAAGTCACTTTCATGATGACAGGGTACATAAGGAAGATAAAACTACAAAAATGACAGTCTAATCTTCAAAGATGACCGATCATCGATAAAAGATTAAATAACGCAAGCATCTAAAATACCAGATTAGCAGCTTGTTGGCACATTCTCAGTATTGAAGTATGCTGAAATACTACTGATAAGTGGAAAAATTTTTTTCCCCTATAAACTGCATACATTATGGAGAAATCTATCCTCCTTTGAGAGGGGACAAGAAGTCACAAACATTTAAGATACATTTATTTTTCTCAATAACAAGGCAATAAACGTAAAATATTAATAAGTGATATACTGTAAAGTGATCCTTAAGTTTTTTTGGGGGGGGGTTTTCTTAAGAAGGAAACTATTTGTTTGCTGGAAATTTAAATATTATTTAATAATCACTCTTTTGCACTCTGCTAAAAATTTTAAACATACGTACAAGAATGATTAGACATGCCGGTCCTATAAAACTCCAAATAAAGTTGTTTTCTGTGCTAAGCCAACATCTGAAAAGTAAACAATAGATACAATCTATAAATATGTTTGAATATACTTCAACAAAGCAACATTCTCAATGATAGATATGGCAAAGTATGTTCAGAATTCCATTTCAAATGCCTATAAAACGTCTTAACTTACACTTTGGTGGTGCCATAGTATCTGTATCCTAATGCTGCTGAAAATCCAACTACCACAGCTGGGCTTAGATAGCCAAAGATATAAAAATTCTTGTGCAAAAATCCCTTGTTGTAGATGACTCCCACAACAATGAGATAGAGATGTATTCCCTCAATGCACATCCATGCAAAGGCAGCCAAAAAGAAGTAATGTAGCAGTCCAGCAATGATTGAACAAAAGAGCTAAAAATCACAGGAAAAAAAAAAAAAGGATAATAATATGTCATAGAAAATTATCATAACATAAAATACAGATTGTTCCTGAAAAAGTATGCCATTTTATGTAGTATGAATCGCATTGATATATTCTTGCCAAATGTCAATTGTTTAAGATGTCCTACTTTCAACTGATTTTAAATAATGGAACTTTATCAACATGAAGCATTCACCAATCCTGTGATAAAACAAAGTTGCTGCTGTTGAAATTTCTACACTTATCTGTTATGCAATGAACTGTGGATAGGTCACAAGGAAACAAAGATACCTTGTTGAATATTTTATTATTTAAGTTGGTTTCTGTTTCAGAGATGCCTTTCTTCTGCTTAATTTTATTAATAATAAAATCATTGTTCATCACTATTAAGCAATAGGGATGAATTAAGTGACAAACATTGGGTTTACAAAACAGATAAACAACGATATGTTTCACAAGAATATTCATTATAGTCACTTTAAATAGTAAGCGTATCAAGTAATTTTAAGTTGGTTTTCAGTTAAACATGATTTTGAAACATTAATCTAGAACTAGAGTTAGCCTAATAAGAAAACAAAACAAAACAGAAAAAAGGTTGTTACATGCTTCTATATTCTGCTTTAATAGAGCTCAGGATATTCATCACTAGAAAGATAACGTAATATCTACCCATACTCTCCTACTGAGTCAATTCTGGCTTATAGGGACTCTGTATAGGGTTTCTGAGGTTGTAAATCTTTACAGAAGCAAAAACGTTCCTCTTTCTCCAGTGGCGTGACTGGTGATTTTGACTGCCAACCTTATGATTAGCAGCAATCCAGTGCTTATCTTACAGTGCCACAAGGACTCCTTACACAATCATTGGAAACCCTATACAGGGTCACTACAAGTTAGGACCAACTTGATGGCATTTAACAACAACATTCTCCAACATCCATTTACTCTTTCAGTCTCTGTCCACCAGCATGCTACTCTTTATAATGATTATTTTATTTCTTTTCATTTTTTTTGGCCTCTCATATATCTCTTATTCTCAAGTTCTATTTCATATCTTACTTTTGCACAAAAGTGACTCCCAGTTTTTGATCCCCGGTTGATCTGTTTCCAACCGTATATAGTATTCACAGTGTATTCATTATGCAATCTCATTATACTTAAATTTTACTGAGTTAATAAATGTATAAGTATGTAACTGTATGAGAGTAAATAAAGAACTGTTGAAAATTACAAAAAACTTTGCTACCTGTATGAAAATTTGAAAGATACTATGAATATTGCTGTAGGATCAGCACTGGATTATAAACTGCAATGCTGACAGTTCAAACTTATCAGCCACTCCTCAGAAACCCTAAACAGGGTTGTTATGAGTCAGAACTGACTTGATGTCAATTAACAACAACAAGAATGAAAAAAAAAAGAGAGCGAGAGAGATGGAATTTAAAATCTTGTATAAAATATTTTTGTGGGCATCTACTACAAAAGAAAATCTTAATAAAAGGTTACTAGTTGCAGTCCTTGAAAGATTTGTAAGAAGAGAGCTGTCATTGTTGGTATTGAGTCGGTTCCAACTCATAGCGACCCTGTTTAGAGTTTCCAGGCTGTAAATCTTCATAGAAGAAGAAAGCTTCGTCTCCTGCAGAGTGGCTGGTGGCTTTAAACTGCTAACCTTAAGATTAGCAGGCCAGTGCTTATCCTACCAGTATTCCTAAGAAGTGATAACAATTTAATGTTTTGCAGCCATAAAAATGCACTTCTCCCGTATCTGAAGTACACTTATGTTACCTACAAGCTCCTGCCAGACCATGACTGAGTACCACATGGTTCCAAAGAGACATGGGAATTCTCTGAGAGGTGACTTTGGCCCAAGGACTCCCCAAAGGACTGCCTGACAACCTTACTGAACATTCCTTAGAACTGCACAGCTGTGTAAAATTTTCTATCCACTCTTTCTTTCTTCCATCTCTCCTTCACTTATGGTCAGACTTGCATCTTGTTCTGACATATCTCCAAGTTTTTCCCTTCCCATTTGCTCTCACCAAGCTTTTAGAGGCATTTCCACAAGGAAATTGCTTGACAGACCCACACTGAAATAATATGGACATTATTTGGTTTAAGGGATCAGATTAATAATAGAGAGGAATGGATAGTTAAGAAATTGTGAATGGTTGGTAGAATCAATTCATCATATTTCAATCTATAAACCCTAACTGCTTTGAAGTTCATTCCCAAATTTAGAGGGTATTTCCAATATTCTCTAGCATTGTTTTTCACCTGTAAACAAATCAAATAAAAGGGTTTTTCTTCAGTTTGTTGCCAAGTTTTAATTTGTTCCAACAATTTGTGGTAAAGAAGGACATTTCAGTTAATTGACTTAATAAGTTGTTGTTGTTGTTGTTAAGTGCCATCAAGTCTGTTCTGATCCATTGAGACCCTGTATAGGGTTTCCAAGGAGCGACTGGTGAGCTTGAACCACCAACCTTCTGGCTCAAACGACTTTGCAGTCTGGTGCACTAACCCACAGTGTGACACCAAGACTCCAACTTAATAAGTTGTTGTTGTTATGTGCCGTGGAGTTGGTTCCGACTCATAGTGACCCTGTACAAGGTTTCTGAGGCTGTAAATCTTTACGGAAGCAGAAAGCCTCATCTTTCTCCTGCGGAAACACTGGTAGTTTCAAACTACCAACCTTGAGGTTAGCAGCCCGATTCGTAACCACTATGCTACCAGAGTTCCTTAATTTAATAAGTAGGCAGGTATTAAGTGCCACTGAGTTTGTTCCGACTAATAGCAACCCTACATAGGGTCTCTGAGTAATGGTTATTGGGTTTGACTCGTCAATTTGCCATTAGCAGTCCAGTGCTTATCCTATCATTAGACTTAGAATAGTGGCTTAAAAACAAATTATATAGAATGTTTGCCCCATTAGGTCATGTTTTCATGAAGTATATATTTAGGAAAGTACAAATTTGATTACAAAAATAGACTAGGAAGACCTACCTACATACCTTATTAGTATTTGTATTGATTCCAACAAGAAAGACAAGTTCAGCCAGAAACAGGCTACAGCATAGGTTTTTGTGAATTGTTGTCCTGGTACTTTGAATTTCACTGAAGAACCAGAAGGTAAAAATGCATATAGCAAGGCAAATCAGTGAAATAATTATTCCTAGTTGAGTGATCCTTGTAAGAATATTATAATCTTTAATACCCTAAGGGAAAATAATAATAAAGCTGTTAAAAGAATAACTCAGAAAGTTGTCAAAGGAACTATAACATACAATGAACTTCAGTTTTTGGTGAAACATTAATCAAAATGTTCATAAAATGTAAAAATACAAATGTGCATTTAAATGAGAAAAATTTTATACTTTGTAAAATGTTCAATATTCAGAGAAATCTGATATAAATCATGTAGCACTTTAACAGGCCTGTAATTAATGCTTTTTTTCTAAGCATAGTATATATTAGTATACGGTTTAACAATGTTATTGTCATCAGTTTCACAGTAGTAGAAAGGTAATTCATTATTATAATGTGAAAATGGTTAATTAAAACAGATTTATCAGTAGTAAGAACAAGTCTTATTTCTTTGCAGTGATTCATCTAAAACACCTAAAACAAAGGTATTAGAAAAATGAAACACGTGAAATATCAAAACAATTCATTTCAGAGACTTTGAAATAGCCATGGTTGATTTTATCTTAACTGGATGAATAATATGTACATACATACATATACATATACCCACACATACATATATACAGTGGTGTAGTATAAGCACTGGACAACAAGGTGAGTTTGAATTGCCAGCAAGTTCATTGGTTCAAACTCATCACTCACCCTGTTGCTGTTAAGTGCTGTTGTTGACTCTATTCTGACCTATAACGACCCTGTATAGGGTTTCCAAGGAACAGCTGGTAAGCTTGAACCACCGACCTTGCAGCTCAAATGACTTTGCATTAGCGCCCAGTGCCACAAGAGTCACTCTTAGGAAACCCGGAACAGGGTCATTATGAGTTGGAACCGATTCTA